TTTTATTTAAATTGTCTGTGCAACAAATTTAAAAATTAACTGTCAGGTTTTTCAAATCTTATAGAATTAAAAATAACCTCAATATAGTTTCGACAGTTGTAAGGTAAAGAAAGCTCTGTTTCAAATTTTCTTTTTCTTGTCAAATACTATTAATTAAATACTAAAGAATAAAATGAAACTTATTTCTACATTTCAAGAATGTTATCTTATATCTACCATTGTACTCTGTGTGTCTATACTGCAATTATAATACAATTGAAACATTTGTGGAAAGTGAATGGTTTATGAATGTTCTAGTTTCTAGTATTGACTGTAAGTATATTGTAGTTTTATAAAGAACAATTTGTATAAGAGATTTGCGGTATGTATATTAATTCTACTTATCTAAATACATGAGTAATTGACTTCCTCGGGCACCATAAAATTGTTTTTGGTAATGGAAAAGTTTGTTTCAATTATTTTGAGTTTGAGAACCCGATTTTACTCATAATTATTACCTAGTTGTTTTAACAACCCAGGAAGATAATTATGTATTTTATATTATGTGAACTATACTCAATTTTCTACTATTACATTTATTGAAAGGCGTTTGTCGCACAGGTTTTTCACTCAAATCAAAAGAGTGTTATCACTTCTTAATATAAATAAGTCTCAAGTTTGTAGATAGATCAAGTACTGAATTTAATACAAAAATGTATATACATCACAATTATTACATAATATATAAAACTGATCACTTTATCAAGCATTATTTTTTAATTTTAAACACATTTCAAGACATTTTTTATTCTCTGCTTTTTTAGTTTCTTCCTCCAATTTTTTGCGAAGGCTATTGAGTTCTTTAATGCGACTTTCAATGTGGTGAATGTCTAATTTTGGATCAAGTTTTAACTAGAATAAAAAATATAAAGTAACATTCAAGAAATAAATTTAGTAGATGTAAATAGTGCTTACATTAACACTTTTTAATTTCTCATTGAACTGATATAAAGTTTCTTCATTCTTTTTGAATAAACGTTTTGTATCACTCTCACGGCAATTTTCATCTATAACTATTTCCATTTCTTTCACATTCCTACAAAATATAAATATAAAGAAGTCTCTACTAATTATATGTATATATAATATTTTATATTTTATTACCTTAACATTGTGTTACACAATTCAGTCTCCTTATTAATTTGTTTAAGAACATTTTGATTTTCAAATTTTAAATTCATAATATCAGCCTTCAGCATCGAGTTGTTTAAACAATTCTGTGCGTACCAGATTTTGAACTTGTTCTCGGACAATTCATCAATACCAGTTTTTAACTGGTATTCTACAGCAGTCTTTAGAATTTCTCGAGCTTCTACATCCAAGTCGTCTGGGGATACTCCTAATTTATCTAGGTACTCTAGATTTCTTTTGTCTGTGAAATTAATTAAACATGAACAGTGGAAACATAGAGGGATAAGGTATTGTAGAATATACATACTTAATATTTTGTATTCTTTTGTAGCACGTTTTAGTAAATCGTCTATGTTTTCAATCGCATTGTCTCCCATTGTTAGAAATTAATTTTTATAACAACGTTTATATTATTCTAAAGGATATATAGCTAAATATATGTACAAATGGATATTTTATACATTTAGCATATTTTTATGTATAAATAAATACAGTTTTCATCACAAATCAAATAAATATAAATATTTTTAATAGGACAACGACATTTAAGTTTTGTATTGAAATTTGACAGTTCTATACAGACATGTTGTGCAACATGGCCGCTTAAACAGTTGTCAAAACAACTTTTATTTGATTGATTATTTGTACATAAAGCACGTTCAAGCAATTGTGTCTTCATAAATATTATTAACAATTGTGTAAAGAATCAATTGAGGTGAATATATTTATATTTAAAGCATTTTTTCACTTTATCCATGTTTATTTTTATTTGTTTTTGTTATATTGGTCTGCTGTAATGATTTCCATCGCTTAGCAACTTCACTCTTCAGTATGTTTTCATTGCGTGACTTTTGTGCAATTTGTTTTGTATTTTTTGTGTAAAATAGTTTTTAGAAGAGAAATTATCGACTTTATACACATTTCGAGAATCATTACATACGTACAATATCAATGTGATAAAATAAATGATTGTTCTAACGATGCATCAAATAATATTGTGCGAAAAAATATCTGGCTGACGTCACAAATAACTCTTAGTGTGTACGACTCATTGTCATAATGCAATCGACATTTAATAAAATAGAATTGAAATATTAATTAAGTGTGATATCCAAAGCAATCTTTATTTTAAGTCTAAGTTACATCACCTAATTTGTCTCGTTGCTAATTAACTTCTTCAGTGTGTCAGTGTGCCCCCTTTGCCTAGCTTTCACTATCCACAAACTTATCTAACTTTACTAAAAAATATCCCATTCATCTGATGTTATTTTATTTTTGAAGACTGTTTTTGTTTTAAATTTTTTGTGTTTATATATCCCGTCAAATATATTTTGAAGTTCCAACTAATCATAAAAAAATCTTAAAAAACCAAAAAAAACTGAAAAAGATAATGGATTCCGAGGAAGAGGGTATTTACGACGATGTGGATTCTGGGAATGAATCTAGTGGAGATGATGATTTTGCTATGGAAGTCGAATCAAATCATAATAGAGAAAGGCAGAATGATGCTGAGGATTACCCCTTCGAGGTGCTGTCTACGGAACAAATTGTGCAACACATGGTGGACTGTATTCGGGAAGTCAATCTAGTTGTCGAGGTAAGTGACAGAGGGTACAGAAGATACATATTAGTATCACAAACATTTGTAAATATATCTTATTTGTATCTATATCTTGACAGTTTATATTTGTTAATAACAAAGCTAATACATCTATCTTATACTATAACAATTGTTATAGTTCTCTTTAAGGCTAATACACTTATCTGTGTAAGACTCTCCATTGCTGTTTTATACAACAGTGTCCAAAAAAGCTGTTATGAATAAAAACCACAAAATATGCTTACAAACATTATCTTTTTTGTCACATAATCGATGGTTTGTATTTGTAAACAAGAATGGTAATGATTTTTTTTTCAGAAACACCAAAATTGTCACAAAATAATTCTCTTTTTACGGACAAGATATTTTTTTTAGGTTAAACATGAATGATTTCTATTTGTTAACAATAAAGGTTAGGTAACTAGAAAGGTAACATAATGATAATATTATAACTAGGCTTATATTATTTCTCCATGAGAGATTTATCATTACCGCAGTGCCCAAAAGAACTGTTATGGATTAGAAACACCAAAATTGCTACAAAAATATTCTTTTTTAGTTTATTAGTTTTAATAAGAACAATGTGTGTTCATTTTCAAGTAAGCGAAAGACATACATAAGCCGTTTCATAAAACAGTGTCTAAAAAGGCTGTTATGAATAAAAACAACAAAATATGTTTATGAACATTATCCTTTTTGTCACATAATCATTGGTTTGTATTTGTACACAAGAATGGTGATAGTTTTTTTCTAGAAACACCAAAATTGTCACAAAATAATTTTCTTTTTGAGGACAAGATATTTTCTTTGAGTTGAACATCAATGATTTTATTTGTAAAAAGAAAGGTTAGGTAACAAGAAATGTAGTTGTATTTTATTTTTATTTATTCAAGAGATCAGTACATAATGATAACATTATAACTAGGCTTATATTATTTCTCTGTGAGAGATTTATCATTACCGCAGTGCCCAAAAGAAATATTATGGATTAGAAACACCAAAATTGTTACAAAAAAACCTTTTTTTTAACTTAATTAGTTCTAATAATAACAATGTGTGTTCATTTTTCAAGTAAGCGAAAGACATATTATGATTATTTATTTAAAATAACAAAATAAACAGACTTTAAAAATCTCTAACAATTTAATAAATATAAACAAGCTTAATAAGAACCTGAATTAATTCTTATTATTATTAATAAATAAATACATACTTAAATTAATCAGTATTTGCTAGATAAATTTCTTGAGCTCAACTTATTATTTTAACATCTAATTTAATTTAGAATGCAATAATAAATAAAATTATGAAAGTTGTAACTTATTCGTGTACAAAGTTTTCAATATGATTAATATTTAGTTTCTCGTAAAACAGAATGTATTAGAAACAATATTATCATTTCATACTATATAGTTTGATATTCTTACAATTTATATATATATATATATATATATTTCTTATATTTTTCTAAATTTGCTGCAAAATTTAGAAGTAAACATTGCACAATTGTGTACACAATATATATATTTAACTGTTACAAGTTTCAATTATTTGTATATTTAGCACGAACAGCTGAATTAAGATTTTTTTCTCATAATATATTTATAAATTAAAATTTTGCTTTCCTATTACAGTATAATGTTTATAAAATATATTAAAAACAGATTGATCACATTTAAATCATAAATAGTATATGAGTAGTTTTTGTTATAATATTGTGTTATAATTTAGATAAGTTTGTTCGAATTTCATTAAAGTCTCTAATTGGTTTTTATCAATTGCTTCAATAAAACATTCAAAATAATTCAAATATATTTAAATATTTATTATATTTAAATAAACTAATATGAAATATATTAATACATATCTTATTCTGTTTACAAGTATTCCATTCATTGTCTTATTTGTTTAAACAAATATCAATTTCTTCAATGGCATTATTTTCTACAATGCATTATCTGTATTTACTATTATTTATTATTTATTGATTGCGATTCATCAATGAAAGAATATTTATTTTGTTTATTTATTCATTAAATCAAGAACATATGTTTAATGTTATGATTCAACAACATTATCTTGACTTTCAACTTTGAGTCCTTGACTAATTCAATGTCAGCTCTCTTATCTGATAAGATAAGAATAAATATCAATATAATAATAAATAGTAGTAATATATTTTTTAATTAATCTTTTTATTCTTTTTTTTAGATCCCTGCCACAACAATAAGGATACTCCTAAATCATTTCAAATGGGACAAGGAGAAACTGATGGAAAGACTTTACGATGGTGACCAAGATCAACTGTTTAATGATGCACATGTTATAAATCCTTATAGGTCACCACCACTAATTAGCAAAACGAAGGTAAAATAATAAATAACAACTAGTGCATTATTTACTGATAATAAGATTGGTTTTATTGAAGTTTTTTTTGTGTTTTTTTAGCCAAGAAAAACGACAGCATCAGGGACTGAAGAATGCGAGATCTGTTTCACTGTTTTACCTTCATCGGTGAGTAGAAAAGATATATGAGAATAGTAAAATCTGTACAAGAGGGTAATTGAAAGTATTAATAAGGTTGTCATGATAGTCAAATTAATAAAATTCAAACATATTAGACATGTTATTGTTTCAAAGGTGTGAAAAAAAGACACGAGGGTGTAAAAATGTGTAAGAGGAGACTTCAGGATAATTTAAACTATAAATAATATTAATTATAATATATACTCACGACAATAGTTTTTTTTTACTCATATTGGTTTTGCTTAATTTGTACAAATTCTTAATATTCATATAAAGTGTATTTTTCCACTTACTCATGAAGGAAATTTTATCAATTATTTAATCAAATCTATATAACTAGCAAATAATAATTTTTATACCTCAAGTTCTACATAAATGTTTCATTCAAATTTTTTGTAGTAAATTCTGTTGTAATCGTGGAAATTTATATTTTTAATCACAGTCTAATCGATGAATGATTACAACTTTGCCAATTTCTTTATTGTAAATATCTTTAATTTTCAATCGTAGAAATTGATATTTTTAAATAGAGTTCAGTTGTAGAATGAATATATCTTTCAATTATGATGTTTTTGGTTGAAAAATTATACATAGCAAGATTAGTTTAATGCCACAATATGATAATATATGATTTATGAATAATTTATGATGAAGCCAAGAATTGAAAAGTAAATATAAATGTCAAATGTGATTATAGACCTAGATATATTAAGAAATCACACGAACGCACCCGAATAAAACACCCAGAAATAAATATATACATGGTGTACGTTCTAAATGACTAAAATTTTATTTAATTAAATTTATTATTGAACGACTTTGTCTCTCAAGATTTCAGTTCTATTAAACTATCTTTATTTGTTTAATGATAATTTTTATTTATTTTCCGTTTCGTTCGCTTTTTTTTGAAGTTCAAAGGTTCAATATAGATGTTTGTATACCTAAATAGAAAATGCAATAAAAAATGTAATAGATGTTGATAATTTGAATAATTTGCATTTGGTAAAAGTCCAAAATTGTTTCTCTCACGTGCCAAATCCGAAATAACTATAAAAAACAATGTATACAGTGCGGTGAACCATGTCTGTATTTATTTTGGGACTTTAAAATGACTAAGGGGTTTTCCATTCTTTATTTGGAAAATTGTTCAAGACGAAACTATGTCACAAGTCTAGATATAAATCTAAACAAGCTGATTTTCTTTACGTTCTCTATAGTTTTCATTAATGTTTTTCTAATTTTAATCATAAGATACTGAAGTAACAACATTCTTATACGTACGAAAACATTTTCTACAAATGGCATTTTCCTCTGAATTTTTTTGTTTTTACGAGAAAACTTATTGATTTTATTAGTTGTTGTTTTAAAAGACATATCAAATTATAACATACTAAAGTA